AACCCACCAAAACACCCCCACACCACCACCTCCCTGCTCCCCGTCTTGTCCTGCTGGACATCACCTGCTGCCACGGCCCATCACCACCATCCAGCTGCTTTAGGGGAGGTGGGAGTCAACACCAGGGTCCCGAGGGATGGGAAATACTCTGCCCATCTGAGGACAGCCGTCCCATGAGCATCTGATGGGCATCGGCCATGAGACCCCAGCCAGCCCTCATCCTTCCCCAGCACGTTGGGGAGCAGAGAGGACACAGCCATACCCACACCAAATAAGCCTTAATTAACCCTCCACAGCCCTCCCAAACATCCAGCAATAAGATCGAGAAAGACAAGAATCAGTTTTAGACAAACAACAGATCACCAACTGCTTGAAGGATATAGTTTAATCTCTGTTTAGATTCATCTGATTAGAGGGGATATAATACTGTGTGTTCAGGCTCCCTTCCCCACTACCTTCAGGCACTGGTACGTCAAGGCTTCACACTGGGATACAATATCAAGGCAGATATTTCACCAAGCTACCGCCTGCGGCTTGCTGCAGAGAAATTCCTGCATTGAGACTCCAATAATGATAAAATCTGATTCTCCAGGAGAGTCCTGAGCTCACCAGGAGCAACAGACACCGGGTAGACACCACACTGCAGAACGGGGCACGGGTTTGCCATTTATTTAAGCGTTCCGGACATTTTGGCCACAGTTCCTGATCTCCTGGCGGCCAGTGCCACTGGAGTCTGGATGTCTGGGTGGGTGCTATCCTGACCCACCTCTCTGCCGGACACTTCAGCAGCGGCAGCAGCCGAGCATTTGCCACAGAGCTGCACCGGCGAGTGACACTTTAGAAGCAGAAAAGCAGCATAAAAGACCTTGGGACCAAATCCACACCAGCTGCTGTCTGCTGCCAGCAGAGACGAACAGCCTGGGGGGCTGGCGAGGGAGGGGCTCGGTCTAAATTACATTGGCCCAGCTTGGCCTCTGGTTAGCAAAGATTGCTCCTGTAAAAGCTGCTGCAATCACACTAGTTGCTGGGTTAATGCATTCATACCTTGAAGAGACAACATGGAGAAAGCAGGCCCTTTTGTCATCGCAGAGGTGACAAAAACCCTTCTTAGTAGCCCATAAGCTTCGGTGGCCAAAGGAGGCTGCATTTAACAGCCCTCGCTCAAGGGGTGCTGCAC